GAATGAGAGTAATGTTTTAGTAAGAAAACGTTATCCTGACAAGAATGTTTTAAAACTGAGATCATTGTTGATTTTGGAAGCCTTGGCATTGTAATTAGTCATGGTTTAAAAATGAAGTAACTTGAAATATCATCATAAAGTATTGTTTGATCTGAAAGAAGACAGTGAACATTTTTGGTAATTTTTAGCATGCTCCCTGGTGTGATTCATTTACTCATTTTATTTGTGGAATTTAGCTTACTGAAATTCCTGTAGCTAGATTTTCCCAGTGTTTCTAATAGCTGAATTAACTATTTTATGCTCCTTGAGAACCATTTAGTACATTATTCTTTATTGTATAAATTGTAATTTTAAACAATTGTGAAAACTAGTAAAATTGAGAGTGATTATTTACTGGACAAAAATGTGTATTAAAATAATAAGCCACTATACTACATTTTAAATTAAATTGAAGTTACAAAACAAATATCCTTGTTCAGAATAAGTGGATTATTCATTTTCTGAGGAACAGTGGTGTTAATGGTTTGGTAGTGTGAAAGATAATGCAGTGTTCAAATATAACTAAGGAATTACTCACCTATTGGGTATAATTTTGTTTATTCATTCATTTAATCATCTTAGAAATTATAATTCAGCAGTTATATCACGTGGTACTTTGGATTTAAACGTTAGTAAGTCATGTTTCCTGCACTCAAAATTCTTAAGGAAGTATGAAGGTAGTAAGTAAAGTATAGTGGGAGTTTGTTTCCAGTGTACCACTTGCTAGTTATAGGCAAGTCAATTACATTCTCTGAACTTCACTTTCATGATTTGCAAATATGGACCGAAATATCTGCCCTGCCTACCTTAAGTAGTTATTGTGAACTGTTAAAGATATTGCATGTTAAAGTGCCTTAAACTGCACATAGGTAGATGTAGTATTACAAAGCTTTGCATGTCTCTGATTTTGGGGGGAGGTTTTCATCCTACTACCACTTCACAAATCCTACGGCATTTATTATTTCACTACAAAAGTAATATAAACTTGAGAAATAGAATCTAGAAGAGAAAAAAATGTATTCATAGTTCACCCTAAATCAAATATGTTTTATAATTTTGAACTGATATTTTTCCTCCAGGTTTTAAAATTCCTAGCCTTGGGGATAGATATTCATAATTATACTACACATTCATATACATGCATATATACACACACACACATTTTCTTCTTGAGTTATTACAGAGTCTTCACATGATCATTTTAATGACCACAATCAACTGTCTCTCTCATAGCTTATTCTTAGGGGAGGTTATCAATAATGTTTTTTGTATTGTTATTTTAAGATGTGTAATTCATTGGAAATAGAGGCAAATGTATTACATGTTTACCTTAAAATAGTTGAGGAAAATGTGTCTTAGGTACAATTACTCTTTAAGGCCTGAGAAAAAAATTAAACATATACTTGGGTCATCACATAATTTTAGCCTCTTTTGTCACACAGGTTGTCACCTCTCCAGCGCACTCAGTGCAAATGCACAGCCTGTAACATAGCTACTTCCCGTATGCACTAAAAGCAGTATTTCGTACTGCACTGTGTATGGAAATGATGCTATTCCTGAAGTGACGCATACTCTAATGTTTTTCGTGGTCAGTGAGAATAAATTACATCACTCCTAAAAATAAAACACAAAGTATCTTCATTCTCTTTCTCTCCCAGTCTCTGCCTCTCACTATTTCAGGTATTTTTCTTGTTGGATTTAAAATACATATAGACTGTCCATCTAATACCTTGACCTCTAAGTTTGACAACCTCTTTGCCTCCAGTGATCTTGTTCTCGTGCCTATTTTAGCCATCCATCCCGCAATTGTACCCTAGGTCTTGTCTGGTCTCTGTAGTAGTGTCCCACACTATCTACCACCTCCCACGTTTCCAGCTTTCTCCTTTCAGTACTCTGACTCCAACTTAGCTAAAGTTCTATGATTTACCATTTTGTTCTTTCCTAGCATTTCTCTCCTTTTGTCATATACTTACCTTGGAAAAACTTCAACCTTGGTTAAATCCTGCCTTTAGCTCTTCTGCACCTGCACTCACGAGGAATAGATGAGGAACCTGGAGAAAACAGTCATACTGACTGGCCTCACTTTAGAGGGATCACTAACCTTAAGTGAGTTCCAGTATGTGCAGTCCTACTAAGTGTCCATAGCCCTCCACTTTACCTCTCGTCAGAGTATTTCACATTGTGTCACTCTCTCTTATGAAACCTCCAATACCCACTCCTCTCCACTCCTTATTCAAAGCTGATGACTTCATTTCCTTTATCATTGATGCTGCTGAAGTAATCAGAAGAGAACTTGCATATCCTCCCTCAACCAAATCTATCAGCCTACCTGCATCTGTATTTTTATTTAATGCTTTCCTTCCTTGTAACTGCCTTTGCTCCATCTGAGGCCACCTACCTGTACACTAATCCCATCTTCTCAAGTACACAGAAGTAGGCTCCTGTACATGTCCCCCACTTCTACTACATCTTCAGTTTTTATTCTCCTGCATCATTTCCAAAAACATACAAACATGCTGAAATACCTCACATTTCCTCTGCCCCATTTAACAGCTATCCTTTACAGAAAAGTTTTTTATATTCTCTATCTCCACTTTTTGTCCTCCCATTCTCTCTTGAACCATTTCAGTCACGTTTTATCCATCGTTCAGAAACTGCTCTTGTCAAGGTCAGCAGTGATCTACATGTTGCCAGATACCATGGTCATTTATCATTATTCCTCCTGGACCTTTCAGCATTATTCAACACAACTGATCACTCTCCTGAAACACTTTTTGAACTTGGCTTCCAGGATACCACTTTCGGGGTTTCTCTTCTGCCTCAGTGACAGTTGCTTGCCTGTCTCCTTTGTTCATTGCTCTTCAGCTTAATCTGAAATGATGGAGTACTTGTGTCCCAGTATTCAGTTCGCACATTTTATTTAACTAACTTTCATTGATTTTCATCTATATACTGTTAACTCCCAAATTTAATTTCTTGAATAGTTTTTCCTCTCCTAAATGCAGATTCATATATCCACCTGCCCACCCTACAACCCATTCTCAAACTTCATCTGTTCAAAACTAAATTCTTACTTCCCATATCCGTTCTCTCAGTCAGCCTCCTTGCAGTTAATGACAATTCGCTTTTTCTAGTTGCTCAGGCCAAAAGCCTTGGAGTTGTCCTTGACTCTGTCCTTTCTTTTACATCCCATGACCACATTGGGTCAACTTTAAGACTATATCAGGAATCTTAGCACTTCTCACCACCCCATCAACTACCACCCTGTTCCAGGCCTGCATCAGCTCTGGACTGGTGAGGTGCAGTAGCTTTCTAGTTGGCATTACCATTTTCGATCTTGGCCTCTGTGGTCTGTTCTCAACATGGCAGCCAGAGGGATCATTTAAAAATACAAGTCATATCATAGCGTAATCTACCACTTGCTTCCCATCTCACTCAGAATAAAATCCAGGGTGCTTATCATGCTCTACAGGGCATGCCCTACTGCAGTGTAGAGTGTCTGCCCCTTCTTACCTTTTAGACATCTTGTCTCACTCTCCCTCACTGTACTCCAGCCACACGGCCGTCTTGTTGTCAGATACACGCAGCATCACTTATCCACTTACTGTCAATAATCTGTTCCTGAAAATAACACGTTTTGCACTAAAATGCTGATAGGGAGTCTATTTACCATTATTTTAAGTAGGAACAATTGTAATGTAATTGCATAAAACCTATGTATCAGTTGACAAATTATCATGTTGAGATCATGTTTAACACATTGTGCCCTGATCACCAAACAACTCATATGATTGTTAATAGGCAGTTTTGTGTGTAGTAATATTTACTCTTCATTCTAATTGCTGTTCTCAATTGCTCCTATTCTTTCTCCACAGTTTTTTAAAATACTTCCTCCACTTTGGGGGGGCACTTTTTATGTAACAGTAGGGAAAAATAAGAGCTAATTATGGAAGGCACTACAGAAATTTGTTCAGGATAAGTGAAAATAGCAGAGAATGGCCCACACTGAGAATGAGGCTAGTGCCTCTTAGCTCTAGAAACAGTGGAGATTTGTTGATACTTAGTGGACTTTCCCAGTAATCTACATAGGAGTCTGAATTATACCAGTCGTATTCAGAATGTAACTTAAAATTCTACTCGTGCATTGTTTTGTTAAAATTTTTTTGTCGAGTTTTGGAGAAAGAGACATACATTTTCCTGTGTAAACACTGACAAAAAACATTGGCTGGTGAGAGATATCTCTGGTCTATATTGGTTGTATATTAAAAACCAAGGTAAATCAAACCAATAAATCAAATGCTTTAAGCCTTAAACTTATACAGTAATGTATGGCAATTATTTCTCAATAAAACTGAAAAAAATACCTAAAACCAAGAGGCGTTCTCCCAGGGAACAACATTCCGTGAGGTATGCCATTGTTTATTAAAGAAGTGCGTGCATGCATTGCATTCTTGCTACATGTATATATATTTTTTGTGATAGAGACAAAGAAGGTTTATGAAACATATCACCTGGCCCAATTAATAAAAATTCTCATCAGGCTTTACATGGTAATTCTATTTTTAATTTTTTGAAGAATGACCACACTGTTTTCCATAGTGGTTGTACCATTTTACCTTTCCATCAGCAGTGCACAATGGTTCCAGTCTGACCACATCCTGGCCAACACTCGTCTCTTTGTTTCTTTTTATTTATTTATTTTAATAATGGCTATCCTCATGGGTGTGAAGTGGTTTCTCATTGTGGTTTTGATTTGTGTTTTCCTAAGGATTAATGATCTTGAGTATCTCCTTCATGTTTTTATTGGCCATTTGTATATTTTCTTTGGAGAAATGTCTGTTTAAGACCTTTGCCCGTTTTTTAATCGGGTTGTTTATTTTGTTGTTGTTGAACATCTAAATATTTTATGTAGTGGAAAATATACTAAAATACTTAAAACGTGTCTTTTTTCTCACTATTAGTGGTGCAAAGTACAGTTTGCTAGCTCATACTACCCTGAGCTTGGAAAGTACTGAGGATAACTTCAAGACCCATAATCTGTCTATTAATGGGGATGGTAAGTACAGTCTATATTTTACTTATTATACATGTTATGTCAATATATGTGTGGTGACAGTAATAATTTCTAATTTTAATGTGTTCCCCTGAAGTGGTTATTGGCTTAAATAATGTAGGCACGAGTGACTCTGTGGATTCTTCAAAATATGTCTGTCCCTTTTCCCCAAAAGCAGAAAGTTTATTTTTCTCTTTCTACTGTTCGCTAGAGATTTGTTTGTGAGGCATGCTTGGTGAGAACAGAAAGGTTTTGCATATTCTGAATCCTTGTCTTTGACTTGAAATTGGTGACTTTACCACTCTTCTAGTTGTCAAAGATGTATCTTATTTTTAACTTTGAAATTGAGGAAGCCAGTAAAAGCATGAAGAGATACTCAAGATCATTAATCCTTAGGAAAACACAAATCAAAACCACAGTGAGAAACCACTTCACACCCATTAGGATGGCCATTATTAAAAATAAATAAATAAAAAGAAACAGAAAGTAACGAGTGTTGGCCAGGATGTGGACAAACTGGAATCATTGTGCACTGCTGATGGAAAGGTAAAATGGTACAACCACTATGGAAAACAGTGTGGTCATTCTTCAAAAAATTAAAAATAGAATTACCATGTAAAGTCTGATGAGAATTTTTATTAATTGGGCCAGGTGATATGTTTCATAAACCTTCTTTGTCTCTATCACAAAAAATATATACACATGTAGCAAGAATGCAATGCATGCATGCACTTCTTTAATAAACAATGGCATACCACACAGAATGTTGTTCCCTGGGAGAATGCCTCTTGGTTTTGGGTATTTTTTTCAGTTTTATTGAGAAATAATTGCCATACATTACTGTATAAGTTTAAGGCTTAAAGCATTTGATTTATTGGTTTGATTTATCTTGGTTTTTAATATGCAACCAACATAGACCAGCGATTATCTCTCACTAGCCAATATTTTTGTCAGTGTTTACACAGGAAAATTTATGTTTTTCTCCAAAACTTGACAAAAAAATTTTAACATACATAAAAAAATTTTGATGATGAGCAAAAAGTCACTAAGAAGACATAATATGATTCCATCTACATCAAGTTCAAACCAGTAAGAGCTAAATTATAGTTTTTAGGGAAGCACACATAGGTGGTAAAATCATAAAGAAAACAAGGAAGTGAATACCATACAAGTTGGGTCATACTTACAGCGAGGTAACTGAGGAGAAGTAGTGTTGCCAATGTTTTATTTCTTGACACAGAGATGGTTATGCACATATTCATCTCATAATTATTTGTTAAACCGTACATTTATATTTTATGAACTATTCTCTATTTTGAATGTAATTTTTTAGTGCGAAACAAAAAATGTACAGAGCCATCTATCTTTACAACAAAAGGTATAAGGAAGGTAGTATATAATTTTACATCTTATACTTCAAAAAATGAAAAAGAATAAGTAACCCAAATCATATTTCCAAACTGCTTTACCAACACTGCTCTATATTTTTCATCATAGGTAAAAATAAACTTGGAGCGTGGAGAGTGCTCCTGCTGTTTTACAAATCTTCTAATCACTTACCTCCCTTCTTCACCTTGCTATATATTTCTTTTTAATAAACTATAACTACAAATTATCATCTAGAGAAAAAAGTTTAAGATTAATTTAGCCCTACCTTCCCGTATATCCTCTGCTTGCTACCAACAGAAGGTAGGCATGAGTGATTCTGTGGATCACTCATTACATCAGTATATGTTATGTCAATATATGTGTAAACACTGACAAAAGCATTGGCCAGTGAGAGATATCTCTGGTCTATGACGGTTGTATATTAAAAACCAAGATAAATCAAACCAGTATTTTACATTCAGTATCAAATAGTTTATAAGCCATATTATATGATATTAAGTATTTGAGTTTAAATCTACCATCATATTCTGTGTTTTCTGTTTGTCTTACTTGTTCCATGGTGGTTTTCTCTTTCTTGCGTCTTTAAGGATTGATAGTTTTATCATTTCAGTTTTTCCTTGTTCTAATTAAAGTTATAATTCTTTTTCTCATCTTTTAGACATTACCTCTAGAAATTTTATTAATCATACTTAAGTCTAAAATTAAAAGATAATTTTACCTTTTTTCTCAGATCCTGCAAGGACTTTAGAATAAACTCCATTTCTCTGACCTATGTGCTGTTGTTATATATTATAATTCTGTTTGGTTTTTAAATTTCACAAGATATTTTATACTCTTAATATTTATTTAGATTTGCCTGCATTTTTCCATGTACTGCTTGTGTCTTATACCTTACATCTGGTATTATTTTCCTGCTGCTTGAAGTGTAATCCTTAGAATTTATTTTAGTTTGTTCTGCTAATATCATACTTCTTAGTTCTTTGTGTATGTCTGAAGATGACTTTGTTTAGCTTCATTCTTGAAAGATATTTTTTACATGATGTAGAAACTTTAATATTTTACTTTGTGAATATTAAAGATATAATTCCAGTACCTTCTGGCATCTCGTACTGGCTGTCAAAAATCATTTGTCAGTGTGTTGCTTCTGTGAAGGTAACTTTTAATTTTCTCTGGTTTTCTGAAGCTTCACTGTGCTATAGGTATAGAATTTAATTTTATTTATGCTGCTTTTGGACATCCTTGAACTTCATTAAATTGATGGATGTCTTTCATTATTTCTGGACAAAATCTTACTTGTCTATTCAGGCAGCCTCTGATCCATTCTATTGCCTTTCTCCCTGTAGCATTCCTAGTAAACCTATGTTAGTCTTTCTGACTGTATCCTCTGTGTTTAGTACCCTTTGTGATGTACTCCTCATCTTTTTGTCTGTCTTTGCTGCTTTTCTGGATTTTTAATGCACTATCTTCTATTTCCTTTATTCTCTTTGCAGCTCTGTCTGATCTGCTGATAAATCTGTATACCAAGTTCTTCATTTCACTTATTGTACTTCTTATTTCTAGAAGTTCTGTTTGACTTTTTCAAATCTGCTATGCCACTTTTCACTTTTTATTCTCTGCATATATTGTTAATATTATCTTTTAGGTTTTTATTAAAAGAGAAGGCATAGCTGTTTTATAGTCTATGGCTAATGATTCAGATATATAAAGTCTTTCTTGATCAGTTTCTCTCTTTTTTTTAACTGGTTCTCACTCATGATGTCTTAATTCCTTGCATGTCTAGTTATCTTTATGTACTTGTCATTGTAATTGAAAGTCTACATAGAGGAATAAATTAATGCTCGGTGTCTCTGTTTGCATCTCACAGGCACCTGGTGAGACTATCATTCTGGCCTCACTTTATCCAAAGACCATGTCTGAGTTTCTCTGCATCCCTTCATCCCTACCTCCAGGCAATGGGAATCCTGGGCAGTTAGGTTGGTTTACTTATGGTTCACCACTACCCTGTTGGTGATTCCTTTGGGATATCAGTTTAATATGAGGAGAATCCTCCCATTAATCTGCCTACATTGTTCAGGTCCTAGACTGTGATTTCTGTTCTGCTTCCCTCGTCTTGCAGGATCATTAAGTCATAAATTGAGATTTTCTGGGATTGGCAAATGCTCTCAGGACAAACACAGCTTCTGTGCTCATTTAACTCACTGGTTCTCATTTATCAGATTTGTACTGGTAGTTTATTATAGTTTTGTTACCTCTTTGTTGCTCTGGGGAAAAGTTTTAAAATATATTTGGTTCAGCATTTTTAGTAGTTTTCAGTGGGAAGATTGGTCTGAACAATCTAATCAAGCCTATCACCCAAAACTTGAAGTTTGCAATAGTATTAGCATTGTCAATTTTATCAGAAAACTTGGCAAATTAAGTTTTTTTAATTCCATTTGTGTTAGTTCTCTAGAATTACCAATATTATCACCATATGTTGAGTGCCTATTATGTGCCAGACATTGTTTGTTGAAATATTATTCAGCCTTGAAAAAGGAAATTCTGCAATATGTGACAACATGAATGATCCTTGAGGACACTATGCTAACTGAAACAGCCAGTCACAGAAGGACAAATACTACCTGATTCCACTTATATGAGGTATCTAAAATAGACAAACTGTTAGAAGCAGAGTCGAATGGCAGTTCCTAGGGGCTAGGAGAAGGAGAAAGGAGGAGCTGCTAATAAACAGATCTAAAGCTTCAGTTATACAAGATGAATAAGTTCTAGAGATCTGCTGTACAACATTATAACATTTGTTAACTATACTGTATTGTACACTAAAAATCTGTTAAGAGAGTATATCTCCTATTACATGTTCATACCACAATAAAATATAAATAGATAAATGAACACTGTTAAAGCAGTTTTTATTCTTAGTCTCTGTGAGACGTAGTTATAAGGGAGCATCACAGTGAAGTGATTAATAGTGGAGACTGGAGCCATCAGCCTTGGATTCGTATTCTAGTTCTAGCACTGGCTAACTGTGTGCTTTCACAAGTTCCTCATTTTGTTATCATTTATATTTTACAAATGAGTAAAATACAGCTTAGAGAATGTAACATGCCAGATTCTGTAGCTAGCCAGTGGTCGAGCCAGACTTCAAGTAATCCAGGAAAGGCTGTGCTCTTTCTGCTATGCATTCCGGTTAGGCATGATTACTGATAAAGCACCTAAAGACTCAAAATACTATCGATGTGTGAATAATGGAATTGATGATGGAAGGTCCCATTCTTTCAATCAAGTCACCTGAAAGGTTGTGGAAGGGAATAAAATTCACAAAGAAATCATCGATTTTAGCAGTGTCACGTCTTCAGTGTTCTATAAGATATTACTAGATTCTCCTTTAATAAAATGCTCCTGAGCAAATAAGCATGGGAACTATGTGGTATACTTCTTTCTTTGAGAAACACAATAAAGACTAGCATGTTAAAGACTGTGAAAAGAGCTGTGCTTACAGCAATAATACCCAAAACCTGTTGACATTGGAACTTGTAGATTCCACAGAAAAAAATTTCAAGAACACTAACCTATATGCCTAACCCTTTTGATGTGATAGGTATATCTCTAGAAATGTG